TTGATAAAATTATGGTAAATGGGTCCATATGTGTGGGCCAAGAAGAAGTTGCCAATGCTATTGTGGCTCATTTCAAAAATTCTTATTCTGAAGACATACGTGAGAGGCCTTTTCCTTCATTGTTGGCTTTCCCTTCTCTGCCATCACATGCTCATGATAGTCTTGTGCAACCTTTCTTAGAAGGAGAGGTTTGGAATGTAGTAAAGAAGTTCTCGGGAGATAAAGCGCCGGGACCAGATGGATTTTCAATGATTTTCTTTAAGAGACATTGGGACATCGTGAAGGAAGGTGTTTTAAAGGCTTTGAATGAGTTTCATCGTACATGTGTTCTCCCCAAGATGGTCACTGCTACCTTCTTATGTCTTATTCCTAAAAAGGAGGCTGTAGAGGATATAAAAGATTTCAGACCTATTAGTTTGGTTTCCAGTTTGTACAAGATCCTTTCCAAAGTGTTTATGGAGCGCATGCGGGAGTTCATGGGTGAATTAGTTGCTGAGGAACAATGTGCTTTTGTGGGGCATAGATAGATTTTGGATGCTTCTTTGATCGCTAATGAGTTGATTGATTCTAGAAAGAGAAGTGGAAGACCGGGGTTGGTTTTCAAACTGGATATTGAGAAAGCTTATGACAATGTCAATTGGGAGTGTTTGTTTTCTACAATGAAGAGCATGAGATTTCCAATCACTTGGATAACATGGATTAAGAGTTGTATCTCTATAACTACCTTCTCTATTCTTGTTAATGGGGAGGCCTCAAGATATTTTTCTAGTGAGAAAGGGCTTCGTCAGGGTGACTCCCTATCACCCTTTCTATTTATTCTTGTCATGGAGATTTTATCCGGGATCATTAGGATGCTTCGAGCACAAGGATTGGTAACTGGTTTCTTTATGGACGAGACAACACAGATGGGGGAGCTTACTCATATCCTTTATGCAGATGATACCATGATTTTTTGTGATGCATCGAAAGAACAGGTTCAGTATATTCTCACAGCTCTCATTATCGTCCAAACTGTGTCGAGGCTCAAAGTGAATTTGCACAAGAGTAAGATGATGGTGGTTGGATAGGTGTCGGATCCTCTTCGCTTTGCAACGATCTTTGGGTGTGATGTTGAAAATTTTCCCACAACTTATCTTGGGCTACCTTTAGGTACACGGGCCTCCTCAATTGCAGTACGGGAACCGGTTCTTACTAGAGTTCAATCTAGAATAGCATCATGGAAGACGAGATTTCTCTCCTTTGGTGGAAGGTTGGTTCTTCTTAAAAGTGTGTTGTCCAGTTTTCCTATCTACTTCCTCTCCCTCTTTAAAGCTCATGCCACAGTTATTGCTAGACTTGAAAAGCTTTTCAATGATTTTTTTATGGTCGAGTACAGGAGAGACTAAACGGTTGCATCTTGTTCGTTGGGAGGTGGTGAAAACCCCTATTAATCGGGGTGACTTAGGGGTTTTGGACATGAGGGTCATGAACCGTGCATTATTGGGAATGTGGGCTTGGATATTCGGCATGGAGAGAGATGCATGGTGGAGGAAGTTAATTGTAATGAAATGCGGGAGATGTGAGTCCGATTGGCACCAAAGGTGGAATTTGGGTTCTTCTGGATAGTCAGTATGGAAGTATATTGTAAAGGAGTGTTCTTTCTTTTGGAAGTTTGCCTATATTGATCCTGGGGGAGGGAATGAGGTTTCTTTTTGGCATGATGTGTGGATTCCTGGGAAACACTTAGCGAGAGAGTTTCCAAGGATTGCAGCAGCTACCCAATCCTTAGACGTGTATGTTTCTGACATGTTTGATGTGGATGGCAGGTTGTTTCAAACAATTCCCCTTTCCATTGCACTACGAGGAGGTGCACATCAGGAGTATTTCGATCTAATGCAGCCCCTCTCAACTCTCAATCCCTTGTTGATTACCGCTGTGCCTCCATCTTTGGTGTGGCCACTCGAGAGTTTGAGGGGATTCTCTGTGCACTCTTTTGCTACCAAGCTCATACATGATCAATTCAAGGGAGATAGTTTTTTCCCCCATAAACTTATTTAGATCCCTCTCGTTCCTTCTAAAATTTGTTGCTTTGTGTGGATGGCGGCTCATAACAAGGTATCTACATTGGATAATCTTTGTAGAAGAGGCATGACTTTCCCTAACCGATGCCCATTATGCAAGTGCAATGAGGAGTCCGTCTCTCACATTCTTTTCTCATGTCCTTTTGCCTCTACTGTTTGGTCTACCTTCCGGAAGGTCTTTTCAATCTTTGGGCCATTTCCAGAGGACCCGAAGTTGTTTTTGTTAGCATGGAGAGGTGCGGTTTGTCTTTCTCGATTTAATAGGCGCAAGAGGTTTCTTCCTCATGCTGTGTTTTGGCTTATTTGGTTGGAAAGAATTCATCGAGTTTTCAGAGATACAGAGTCACCACCATGAAGCATTTGCTATAAGATCATTCATTCGGTTGGGAGAATATGGATGCTCGCTCGAAAGTTGATTACAGATGACGTGTGCCAGGAATGGTTCCGGATATTATCCACTAGTTAGATAGTTTTTGTTCTTGAGTGTGTTTTTGCTGTAATGTAGTATCAGTTGAGGAGCGTTTTTCTTTGATTTTTTTAGTCTTCTCTTTTTGTGTCGTTCTTGGTTTGAGTTTTCGTCCCATCTTTGGGGTTTTTCTTAGTGTTTTTTCGTTGTTGTTTTCAGTTTTGTTTCTTTTCTTGCTCCTTTCAACTGTTGGTTGAATTTTTGTCTTATTTTCTTTTTGTCCGTCTTAATAAAATTTTCTCAATTATTCAAAAAAAAAAAAAAAGAGAGAGACACTTTTATCTCCTCTCCAAAGACCATCGTTCTATCCCTTCAAGGGTATCTTTTTTTTAGCCCATATGAGAAAGTTGTTTTTGAGAAAAATGGGTGAGAAATTAAGAATTTATTTAAATACCTAATATAAAAACAGAAGATTAAATATCAGCCAGTGCTTTGTTTGTTTCCCCAATCTGTTCCACTTCTCTGAAAATGGCAACATTTATACAGAGGGTAAATGACAAATGGGTCTAACTGACTGGAATCGTCCCACAGCAAAAGCACTCAAACCTCCTCCTTTTTTCAAAAGAAAAAAAAAAGTTACTGTTTTTCGTTTTGAATTTGAGTCAGTAAATACTAAGTTACTGCTAACTACTGAGTCGGCTCTTCTCTATAAATAGACTCCGATCCCAACCCGCTTCCTTCGCCTCTCTAAAGAAACAGAGAGAAACCACCGAGTTACTGCGGTGTAGTGAAAAAATTTAGAAACTAGACTAAAGAAACTGGGAATCAATGATGTGTGGGGAAAAGCTTCGTTCTTCGACGGCGACGTCGTTGCATGTCGCCGCATTTTGCGTCGTGGTGGCGGCGACGATCATCGGCGTCCAAGGTTCCCACAAAGTGTACCCGGAGTTGCAGTCTCTCCCCGCCGAGAAGGTCGACGAAACTCACCGGACCGGCTACCATTTCCAGCCTCCTAAGCACTGGATCAACGGTATTTTTTTTAATGTGTCATATAATGGTGGTTTCAGATCTGGTTTTCCTCCATGTAATAACGACCTCATATATGCATGTTAACTGCAAAACGGGGGATAACATGAGAAGATACCAATTTTCTTAAGAAATTATAGGACTCATATAAAAATACACATTTCTTAGGGGAAAAAAAGGTAAATAAGAGATTATATAACTTATAACTTTGTGTTAGACAAGAAGAGTTGGTGACTCATTTGCGCTTTACCCAGTGAAGGAGCTAGGTAAAGTCAGGAAGGACTATAGCTCACTCAAATTTAAATTATATGTAAAATTCATAATTTTTGTAGGAAATAGAATAATCGATAAGAGGTTAGTTTTTCTCTCTCAAATAACATAGTTAAAGTCAGCCACATTCGAATTCGTGATTTTATCTATCACAACATGTTACGGTAGATATTGCTTTACCGTTATCCCAAGTAGGGTCAGAGGGAGTGTGTTGGGAGCGGTTCCCTAGCACACCCTTGACTTGGGAGAACAAGGATTAAAAATGAGTTAGAGACTTCTTATTCCTAGTCCTGAGTTTTTTCTAAAAGTTGATAATATACATTTAAATTATTTAAGTTATATAGATTAAGTCATAGTTTGTAGATACATAAAATAAATCAAAACAAAAACCACATACAATTAATCTAACCTTTTAAATCTGTAATTTTTAGATAATTCTTAGTCCAAACGAGTGATGGCTCTTATCGTCTCAAAATATCAGCAGACCAATTTATTGGGGGTTCAAACATCTAAGTTCTAACTATGTTACCCTTTTCCATTCCATCAATTTATGAAAGACGAAACTCTTCCTCTCAAACATGGTCGCTAAGTCGCTCGCCTCTATCATTCCATTCCAACCGATGTTCGTCAGCTATCCATGATTACTAGAATGACTTCAACGTAACTCTCCATGAATTGGAATGATTAACAAAATTATGAATAATTAGTTGGTAAGATATATTGACAGTGAGGTCTTTCGTAGTTTATATATATCATAATTTTTATTAGGATAGAAACATATTGTGACTCATTGCAAAATATTAGTAATTTCTCATATAAGATATATTTATTTATTTGTAAAAAAGTGGACAACTTATATAAAATTCTGGCTAAACCGTAAAATGAGCATCTTTTCTTTATGACCAGATTGAGCATCTTTGTTTGTTTAATTTCTTCCATATACCATCATAATGTAAGCAAACATTAAATCATAATCAAATCATATTAAAAACAAGATTTAGAACACAGATTCACCCTATCGTAGGAATTCCGTTTAACATCGGATTTAGCAACTCATAGCACTTGTTCATATATTTTTTGGACTCATAACACTTGATATAGATAAAAAGGTTTATTTCCCCCCTAGTCTTATGTATTTGATTTCTTTAGTGAAAAAATAAAAGTAAATTAATTAGGGTTGCAGCTTTCTATCCATGCTATGTATAGTCATTTTTTACCCCCACTGAATTGTCAAAAAACATTTCTTCACACTGCAATAGGTTGGGTTGGTGGAATCAGGGCTGGATCTCTTTTCCATAGCCCCCAAACTTTGAGAGAACTTGTTAGTGGGGAGTGCCTAAAATTTGCACAGTTGCAGTGATAGTAAGGTAAAAGAAGTTTATCTAAAGCCTGCTTCCAAGTGGAAAATGGCTTCGAGATGAGGGATTGGTGGCGGTAGTGGTTATTGGCTTTACATGGTTGAAAAACTAGCTGGAGGTTTCTATGTTTGGCGACCATTAGCATGCGGGTTAGAAAAGCATTGTTTCCATACTACCTTACTGAACCCTTTGTGACTCAACAAATGGCTTAGATTCTCGTTGGACCTTTTCGAGCACTACAGATCGATTAAATCTCATCCACCGAAATCGAAATGAAAAAAAAAAGAAAGAAAAAACCAAAACATCACATACATTTGGTAAGTCAAGAAAATCATACCAGCTCGTACTATTAAATTAGAATTGCACTATGGAGATCCCAAGTTCTCTTGACTAAAGTTTCACCTACTTGTGTTGTTTTCTCCTTTGTCACACCATGTGATGGTCATGGATGTTCCAAACTGTCAATAATGGGCCCACAGATCCAAATGGTAAGTCAGAAGCCCATCTTTCTACATTCCTGTTCTTCAACATTTGTCACTTGCGGAAAGAAATTAACAATTTAGTGCCAAATTCCCACCCAGGCCCAATGTACTTCAACGGCTTGTACCATTTGTTCTACCAATACAACCCCAAGGGCTCAGTCTGGGGAAACATCGTATGGGCCCACTCAGTATCCAAGGACCTCATCAACTGGCAGGCCCTGGAGCCCGCAATCGAGGCCACGAAGCCCTTCGACATCAAAGGCTGCTGGTCCGGATCCGCCACCATCCTCCCGGGCAACAAGCCCGTCATCCTCTACACGGGTGTCGACAAACACAACCGCCAGGTCCAAGACTACGCCGTCCCCACGAACCTCTCCGACCCTTACCTCCGGTCCTGGGTCAAACCCAGCAAGGGGAACCCGTTCATCGACCCGGACCGGTCCGTCAATGCCAGCGCCTTCCGCGACCCGACCACCGCCTGGTTCGTCAACGGCGAGTGGCACACCGTGGTCGGGAGCAAGCGTGACATGGTCGGGGTCGCTTACCTGTACACGAGCAAGGACTTCAAGAAGTGGGTTAGGGCGAAAGAGCCGCTCCACTCGGCTCGGGGAACCGGGATGTGGGAGTGCCCCGATTTCTACCCGGTTTCGCCCACTGGGCGGAGGGGCCTGGACACATCAGCGTTGGGGAAGGAAGTGAAGCACGTGTTTAAAGTCAGCTTGGACTTGACGAGGTTCGATTACTACACGATCGGAGTGTACGACAAGGAGAAGGAGAAGTATGTTCCGGATTTGGGCTCGGTGGACAGTTGGGCCGGGCTCCGGTACGACTACGGTAACTTCTATGCTTCTAAATCGTTCTTCGACTACAAGAAGCACCGCAGGGTTTTGTGGGGTTGGGCCAACGAGTCCGATGGCGAGGCCCGTGATAAGGATAAGGGTTGGGCAGGAATTCAGGTAAACAACCATGATTGTGAAATCGTATCTACAGTTATGCATGTGGCAGAATATTTTGTAATAAAATCGCGATTTAACCATTGCAGCTGATCCCAAGAAAGGTGTGGCTGGATCCAAGTGGGAAGCAACTGTTGCAGTGGCCGATTAAAGAGCTGGAGATGCTTAGAAGTCCTGACCCACGAAAATTGAACTCCAAAGTTTTGAAGCATGGACGGCACGTTGAAGTGGACGGAATCACTGGTGCCCAGGCTGACGTGGAGGTCACCTTCTCATTCCGGAGCCTCGACAGAGCTGAGCCCTTCGATCCCAAATGGGCCGACCTTCCGGCCCAAGACGTCTGTCATCAGAAGGGCTCGACCGTTCCAGGTGGGCTTGGGCCGTTTGGGCTGCTCACCGTAGCCTCCGAGAAGCTCGAGGAGTTCACGCCGGTCATGTTCAGGGTGTTCAAGAAAGGCGGCAAGCACGTCGTTCTCTTCTGCTCCGATGCCACCAGGTAAATAACATCCATTTTTTTTTGTATTTCTCTACCACAGTATCTTGTTTTAAATATTTCTTTTTGTGAGGGCGATATAGATCTGTTTTTGGTTTGCTTTCAGTTCTAGCCTGGCTAAGGGGCTGTACAAGCCGTCGTTTGCTGGATATGTGGACGTTGACGTGTCTAAAACTAAGAAGATTTCCCTGAGGAGCTTGGTAACTTTCTGAAAAACTTTTGCCTGTTTGGTAAAATTACTTTTACGTCATCGAGAACTGAAGATATTGTTGTTATGAATGAATGGAATGATATAGATTGATCATTCGGTGGTGGAGAGCTTCGCGGAAGGAGGGAAAACGGTGATAACGTCGAGGGTTTATCCGACGCTGGCAACAGGTACAAAAGCCCGTCTCTTCTTGTTCAACAACGGGACGGAGGAGATCGAGGTCGACAAACTCACGGCATGGAACATGGGGAAGCCAGTCATGAACGTGCCTTTGAATAAGGGAGCATCCATTAATTAACTCGGAGCTTTGATGGAATTAGCATAATCCGCTAAGTATATGACAGAGGGCAGCCCAGGGTTAAGCAATGGGGATCGATCGATATAATAAGGTAACATGTATAACTATTAACTAATCAGATAAAAGAGTTCATCAGTAGGGGAAATAACGTGACGAAATTGATCCGAAGATGTTTGGTTGTGCTTAGTAATTAGTAGGAGTCATGGATTAAGACAATTAAGTACGTATATGTCGTATTAGTTGTTTGCATGTTTTTGTTGTTGTTATGTTATATATAGTACAGTGCAAGACTTGTTGCCTGTACCTTGATGTTATCCTTTCCCACAATTTGGGGGAGGTCCAAACCGATTAAACCGAATCGGATTATTCTGGTTATCGATTTCGTATTTTGGTAAAATTAGAAACTAAAAAGTGGAGTGGATTACAAAACTGTTGTTAACTGAAACTGGACCAAATAATTTCGGTTTGGTCCGTTTAAAAAAAAAAAAAAAACGGAATTACAGCTCCCCAATCAAAATGACGTTGCGTTCAAATTTAATTAAAACAAAAAACTCATCCATCCATCCATCCATCCAGCCACCCCACCCATCCAATCCCATCTCCGTCCCTCCAGATTCTTCATCTTCCACATGGGCCACATCCTCCTTTTAGTTTCACCAAGGAGTGGTTTGGATGGGAATTTGAGTTCAGAGTTTTATGAGAGATTTAGACTCTTATCTCTCAATTTAAAACTCAAGAATTTAAACCGCGGGATTTGATCAAAATAACTTGTTTGTTTAAGAATCTCGGTTTTCAATGATAAAAGACAAATGACAGTTTTGTTGTGGTCCTTGATTCCCCTGTTTACCTAGTCTCTGCCTCCAATGGAAACCAACGGTGCCCAAAAAATTGCAGAAAAGAGCAAACCCACAACCTCCGTCTTGTGGTTTCTTCTTGAGATTCGTCGCCACCGACCCTAAAAAATCCAGAAAACAAATCGGCCAAACAAGAAATTGATACTCAAACAGATTTGAAATTGCAGACAGAGCAACGAAGGAGAACCCAGAATTCAGCCATCCTGGCAAATGGCGCCCTTTTTGAATCTATCTGTCAAAATCGTAGCAAGAAAAAAAAAGAACACCGAGTTTTTTAACGTGGTTTCGTCAATATGAGACTAGTCCACGGTGAGGATCTTCCTCATAGATTTTTGATTGTTATTGCTTGATTACTCTTTCTCCAGATTACATGAGTAATATATAGGTTTCGTCAAACCTAAACCTCAGCCGACTACTATTAATACTATTTACATATTGGTACTTTAAAATATATAATTAACACCCTCACTCAAATTGATGTCGGTTTACCAACATCAATTTGCATGATAAGTACCAATGTCGACTTGATGCCACGACCTTAGTCAACATATCAGCTGTCTGGTCTTCTGTTGACAAGTATTCTGCCTTCAGCAACTAGTTGTCGAATATAGTGCACACGAACTTCAATATGCTTTGTCCGATCATGAAGCACTGGATTATTTGCTATCTGTATTGCACTAGTATTGTCTCCATAGATTCGCATTGGCAAGCTACAATCAACTCCCAATTCATTCAACAGACGTTGGAGCAATACCATCTTTGAACTTAGCTCGGACATAGAGCGATACTCAGCCTCTGTTGAAGATTTAGAGACTTTGTCTTGTTTTCTGCACCACAAAGAAATGAAAGAGCGACCCAGTCTCACACACCATCTTGAAGTCGAACGTCTAGTATCCAGACAACCCGCATAGTCTGCATCTGCAAAGCCTTCTAGTTCTGGCCGGCTATCAGCGGGAAAGAACATTCCCAAATCCTGAGTATGCTTCAGGTATCGAAGCAAGCGATGAACAACATCCAGATGGGTAGTGCGGGCCAACCCTAGAAACTGACTGACATTCTGTACAACATATGCTATGTCGGGTCTTGTGTGACTAAGATATATTAAGCTGCCAACTATACTTCTGTAAAACGTCTGGTCTTCCAACAGCTCCCCACTTTCCCTTCTCAATTTCAAATTCTGCTCCATGGGTGTCGAACAAGGTCGGCAGTCACCATACTGCGCAGTCTCCAAAAGATCTATAATGTACTTCCGTTGACTCACAAATAATCCTTTCTTAGACCGAGTCACTTCCAATCCTAGGAAGTAGGACACTTCCCCAAGCTCCTTGAGATTGAACGCCGAATGTAAAGACTGAGTAAGCTCTTGTATTCCATCTACATCACTACCTGTCACAATCATATCGTCAACATAGAGTAACAAAACAACTATCTCGTGAACTGTATGCCGCTGAAACATGGAGGGATCACTCGAACTCTGTGAAAAACCAGCCTACAAAATAGTGGCATGAAAATTTCCAAACCAAGCCCGTGGTGCCTGCTTCAAACCATATAATGATTTCCTCAACTTGTATACAACATCCTTCCCCTATTTATCATAACTTGTAGGACATTTCATGTAAATCTTCTCCTTCAAGTCGCCATGCAAAAAGGTGTTCTTCACATCCATGTGACGAAGCAACCAATTGTGCATGGCTGCAACAGCAAACATACTACGAACAGTTTGCATCCGAACCACAGGCGCAAATGTCTCGTCGTAGTCTATGCCAAACTCTTGCCGAAATCCTTGTGCGGCCAGGCGAGCCTTGTGACGCTCGATAGTACCATCAGGAAACATCTTGATGTTATAAACCCATCGATTGGCAAAAACATGCATACCTGGAACACACGGGACAATATCCCAAGTATGATTAGCTTCCAGTGCCCGTGTCTCGTCTGCCATGGCAGCATCCCACTCCGGATGACCCACTGCGAACCGATAATGACTAGGAACTGCAATAGGTTCAGTAGAAAAATGAACACAATCCTGCATACGAAGAGGAGGCTGACCAAGAGTACTGCGTGTGGATCGACGAAGTGGCGACAGTTAAGGTGGATCGGATGGGGACAAACTAGAAGAGATGGAGTTAGAAGAAGACGACGTGGAAAGATCCCACGATCCATTAGAAGACGAAGCCGAGGACGACCCAACTGAGAGAGAAGGCTGGGACGTCGACGACGGAGATGGTGGGGCAGAATCATCGGAATCTGCTGGTTGAACCACTAACCTTGGTTCCGAGTCAAACACATGTAAGGGACAAAGGAATTCCAGATCCGGGAGATGATCTTTGGCTGCAACTGTGTAGTGCATCACTTATTCAAGAAACACTACATGGCAAGAAATGCTCATACGACGTTCCGTAGGATCATAACACATATATCCCTTATGGCGATCACTATAACCCATGAAAACACACCTGGCACTCTTGGATTCCAGCTTATGACGATCTTTCTTTTGCAAAAGAACAAAACAAACACAACCAAACACCCGCAACCAGGAGTAGTTAGGCTGTTTAGAGAATATGCAGAAGAATGGAGACCAATCGTTCAATGTGGGTGTATTTGATGATATAGACCACCGAATTGATAGCTTCAACCCAAAAACTGCATGGTACATGGGACTGAAGAAGATGAGCACGAGTCAAGTCCAAAACATGATGATGCTTTTGCTGGACCAATCCATTATGCTGGGAAACACCTAGGCAAGACTGCTGCGAAATAATACCCTGAGACGGGTAAAACTCCAATAGCGGATTCGAACTAAATTTACTTCCGAGATCTTAGCGGATTATCTTTACCGTCTTGCCAAACTGAGTACAAATTAACTGAACAAATGCCTTAGCATGTTCAATTAACTCTGATTTGCGACGTAGAAAGTAGATCCAGGTATAGTGCGTTGCATGATAGATGAACAGTGCAAAATATATGTATCCCATATGTGACATAACAGGTGATGGACCCCATGAATATGTGTGAATTAGATCTAAGGGAGACTCATATAACGTGTCACTAGAAGGAAAGGATGACTGAGAAGTTTTGGCTTCAATGCAATTCACACAGGGTGGCGGAGAACCAAAATTCGACGCTAAAGAATCAGGCAATAAATTGCGACGAAACATACTAAGTAATCGAGCATTATGAGGATGACCAAGCCGACGATACCATAAATCCCAAATAGATGTTCGAACACTGAAATGCAAAGAAGCTAAAGGCCGAACTGAACAGGCCATCAAATCAGGAGAGTCATAGGGAACATTAGACATATGTTCCTTATTCAACCAAAAGATATCATCAACTAAACTACCATTAGCAACCGCAGCATCCTCAGTCGAGATGGCAAGTGCGCCCAAGCTATCTGAATACCCCACGTCTTTATCCTCCCCTGAGTATGACTTCACCAGCAACATCTCCTGGGATCGATCATACTCTTCAAGAATAAAAACACGGCCATCCTTCTTACCCTTGCCAAGAACCTTCCCAGTGATCTGATCCTGCACAACACAAACGTGATTATCAAACTTGACCTCACACCCATCTTCTGTTAACTGACCAACCGAGACCAACTGAGGAACAAGTTGGGGGACAAATAAAGTGTTGGGCAATGTAACACTGCTAGTAGATGCTATGCCGACCCCATGGGTGGGAATCCGAGCCCCATTGGCTACTTGTAAAGAGGAGGTTAGCCTAGTATTTAATGTTGAAAATGAGAACGAGCATTAGTCATATGGTTAAAAGAAGCAGAATCAATTAACCAACGAGAGCGAATACCTTTACCACCACCTGTAGCAAAAGCAGAATTAAGAGCTAGAAGAAGAGCATCCTGAAGCGCTTCAGCAACTAAACGACGAACATCTACAGTAGTAAGACCAGGCGAGAGAGTGGAAGTCAAAGAAGGAGCTACGACTGGAGCTTGGGCGATGACATAACTTGCACCAGCAGGGCCAACACAGCGAGACCTAACCGAACTGCCTGAACCACGAGAACAGGATGAGGAACCACCCCTGTTGCGTTGAGCAGCAACCTTACAATCAAGCACAATATGACCGGACTGCTTGCAGTAAATACAAAAGTTCTTCTGCCGACAGTGAGGTTGGATATGACCCACCTCACGACAATAATGACAGGTCAAATGGCTTGTGTCACCTTGCTAAAAGTGAGGACGAGAGCCCCCAACACGTCCAACGGCAAAAGCAGTATCAGTGGGGCCCTCAAGCTTGGAGAGACTTCGGAGCCGAGTCTCTTCCAGGAAGAGCTCACTAAGTGCTTCATCAATGGAGGCGACATTACGATGAAGAATAGAGGCCCTGACAGCTTCAAATTATGGCCGAAGTTTCATGAGATCCGTCCATCGAGGAACAAGAGCCTGATAATAAGAGCGAATATCACGATCACCCTGGGTGAAGGAAGAAAGCTCACTCTCAATCTCAAACTGTCGTGAAGCATTATTCTGAGAATGAAGTGAACAAATATGGGTCCACATC